AGAGCCCCGGTCGGGCTCGCCGCCCTGCTCCCGGCGCTCTGGCCGCCGGGGAGAGCGGAGAGCCCCGGTCGGGCTCGCCGCCCTGCTCCCGGCGCTCTGGCCGCCGGGGAGAGCGGAGAGCCCCGGCCGGGCTCCCCGACCTCCCCCCGGCGCTCCGGCCGGTGGGGGATTGCTCGGCGCCCTCCCCTGCCGCGGGTGGCATTTTTGCCTAGGGCGGCAAAAAAGCCAGAGCCGGCCCTGACTTCAGCTATGCGAATAGCGTAGCTGAAGTTGCGTATCTTAGGTCAACTTACCTAGCTGTGAGGACGGCAGCGAGTCGACCGCTGCCGCTCCCCCGTCGACTCCGCCTCTCGCTGCGGTGGAGTTCCAGAGTCGACGGCAGAGCGATCGGGGATCGATTTTATCACGTCTACACTAGATGCGATAAATTGATCCCTGATAGATCGATCGCTACCCGCCGATCCGGCGGGTAGTGAAGACGTGCCCTGAGTGTTGTAATGCCAAAGTTCCTTTGTGGTTCCAGGCCTAAGTTCTGAGGGATTCTGAGAGGGGTTACAAGAAGAGCCACCATAGGGGAGACAGAATGGCCTGAGCTGTAGGAGAAGAACCAGGAGAGATTAAAGCCACAGACTCTGCTCAGAAGGAGCAAGTGTGTAGCTGTACAAAGGCACAGACTATTCAGGGATGTTTAGGATGGAGAAGAAGCCCTGAGATTTCTTCAGGAGAAAGTTACTGGAGATCTTAGAACAATTTCAATGAAAACTGTACAGTGCTATAGTACTCTACACTCTATAAACTCTTTTAAATTGAAGTCTCTACTAAAGAAAGGTCAGAAATATAGGTTGCACTTGACTGATCTTCTAGTCATTCCCAAAGAGCACAATCTTCCAGCCAAATGAGATTGTAGATCATGGAATCTTATACCCGTAGAATGTGATGGAACAAAAATTCAAGCATTTCTGGCAAAATTAAAAACAGATTTATACAAATTACAGGCTCTGATTAAATGTATCTGTGATTTTTGAGGGACTAGTAGAGAAATCTCTTAACAAATGAAGATAGTGACAGAGGTACTGGATGACTGAAAACATAGAGATGTTATACCTGTCTGTCAAAAGGGTAAAAATGAAACTAGAAATAGGAGGTAACTGCCTGATGTCTGTTCCAAGCAAACAATCAGGGCATAATGTAAGCAAGAATTGTATGTTTTTGGAAGCAATATATTTTATAACTGCCAAAAAATTGGATTATCATAAATGAGTAAATAATTTGTCTGGCAAGACCTAATCCATATGTATCTAATTAATCTAGCTCTAGTATTTCTAAGGCATCTATCACCTAATTACCAAAGTAGGACTTGATCCTACAATGTTATGCATGGGCTAATCCCTGTGTTCATTCAGATCCCCATTGACATCAATGGGGCAACTCATGGTTAAAGTTTGGCACATGCTTAAGAAACTAGCTGAACTGGGGCCTAAAACAGCCTTACTGCTTTTATTTTTACAATCTGTGCGAATCCTCCTGTCTTCTAAGATACACAGATCTTGCAATACGCATGTTATAATAAGTGTTTATGGATCCTAAAAAGCATTGTGTCTCGAGGGATTAGTGAAAGCAGATTTGAACACTATATATCAGATGCTTACAGCAAGTTACAGTTGACTTTGTAGGTAATAATGTGTTCCTTGGAAAATTTGGCTAAGTGTTTTTAATAGGGTTTTTTTGCATTGCTATAGGTGTGTTAATCCAGCATCTTTCACCGACACTAAATTCACTTAGATTTAAAAAAAACATGTATAAGAGGAAAAGGGATTGTGATCCTGCTCGTAGCTAACCATAAAGGAAAGGGGGGTGGTTGTAACATCATCTGGACCTCTTGCTGACCCCCAGATTGAGAACTTTTAACTGAAGGCTATTCTGTGCTCATGCTATTTTTACACCTATGTAAGTCTATTGACTTACACTGTGTAACTCCTGTTTTTACACTCATGTCAGTGAGGACAGAATTTATACTGTCAGCTCTTTGTGACAGGGACATTTATCATTTACTTGTCTATATTGCACTGTGCACCATTTTGGCATTGCAAACACAATAATTATAAAAGTAATAATGTTTAGCCCCATTCCCATCAGTCGTAATGAATCAGTCATAATGAATTTCTGTCACTGATTAATTTCAAATGATCAGTTAATGAGGACTCCAATGACTACTCTAAACAACATTACTAGATGGAGAAATAAGCAAAAATTTTGCAAAATTATCTATCATCTTATTAAAGTGAATTTAGTGTTGGTGAAAGAGTGGTGCCTTTAGGGCTAATCCATAAAAAGATCTATAGAAAGAAAAGTTTATTTGAAAAAAGAAAGAGATCTCAGTGTGAATCGCCTGTGTATTTTTCAAAATTGCATTTGAAGTAAATTACACAATTCTTGAGCTGCTTAAATTCATTTACTTGCAAGTAACTTCGAAATTTTCACCTTGAAATGAAAGATGTTTCATTTTGAATTGTGAGAAGTAAACAACAGAAGTGAAGCCATGGAGGAGTGAGGGGCTTTGCCAAGGGAGGTGATGGCAGTGTACTTTGGGTGCTTCTGGTTAGCTGATTTGCATAGAAAACATGGGGCTGGTCTTTGAAAAGGCAGCTCAGTAATCTTGCTAACTGTAGAGCGAGCGACAGCGATGCCAACTGTCCATTAAAAGGAGAGGGATTTAAGAATATAAAGAAGAAAAGAGACCCTCAGAGGGGTGCACGAGACTTCTGAGAAACTGATGTTTGTTTAAATTCTGCCTTCATTTACATCTGTTCAATCTCACTTAATTCA